AAAATATGTGCAAACATTTGACCCAACAGATCACGTTCCTTGCCAGTGACATCAACGTGAAATTGCCATTGTATCTTTACCTGTAACTTACTTATTTAGCATCCTTTAAGATATCATCCTAAAAAGTATGTATGCGTGAGGAAACATTTTTGGAAGGTCCTTTTCTCCAGATCAAAGGAGAAGATCTTTCTTTACAGGAGAAGATCTTACTCTAGGCCAGCCTTATTAACTCAATTTATCTTAAGTTATTAAGTAAAGTTATGAAGTTATTAGGAGCTTGCTTCCAAAATTTTGGAAAAAGTCTAATGCAGATGAAGTTTACAGTCTAAGCAGAATAAAGCACTGACCTAGCTTCTGAGTGTGAGTCAAGAGAAAGTATTTTCTTCTTTTCAGTGTATTCAACTAGTTCTATGGATGTTATAATTTCTTGGAAGTGGAAAATTATTTTTCCACGCCTTCTATTTTAATCTGTGAAGGAATATTCATGATTAGGATAAGAACTGCTATTTATTATCTCTAGTGTGCTCTGTTAAGAGTTTAGAAGTATCTCACATTCCTACAGAATTCATTAGTGAAGAAGTTGAAGTTTATTATTGCTAGTCAGCAGGTATTTCTTTTCTGTAATAAATGAGTTTTAAACACTAAGAAATTTTAGACACACAAGCTTTATTTCTCACATACCTAACATAAAAAAAATTTACTAGTAGCATATAATTGTTTGGGTTGATAATATAAAATTGTCCCAGGTGTCATTCAAACAGAGATTAATACCAATCATTAGTAAAAATTAATTAATAAAGTTGTTCCTAGTTTCTTATACATTTTTTATTTAGTCGTTTTCTCATTTTTTGTATGTATTTGTATAACTACTCGGTGAACTTGGATCTTTCAAATTATACAAAATTTGGTGTTGCTTTTTAGTAACATATTTTAGTAAATACTGCCACCCAGTGAACAGATACTGACACTGGCATGGTGCAAGGGGAAGGAGAAAAGGGATGGTCTGCTACAGGTTAAGTGATCACGTTCACTTTTCAGGATGGGCCATGCTAGACAGCAAAATTGATCATAAAGTTGTCCGTTTTCTGTGAATCGCACTGGAGCAGTTTTAGGGCCTACTCAAGCACTTCTTCCTTGGAGAAAACAAGGATGTTGATACGTTCCAAGAAATGAAATTGCCTAGATCGACAGGTACCAGGAAAGATTTCTTCCAAGGACACCTAGTAGGTTTTAGCTATGCAGTCTGTTTTGCAGTCCATATTGTAACATCAAAAGCGGATGAATGAGAGGGATGGTGTATTTATCTCTGCAATTCTTTTGGGAATCCAGGGCAAATAGTTAGGGCCAGACCACAAGAAAAGTCCTATGTGGAACTTTACACAGAAAGGGCTGAGGACCAAAAGACTCCTGTGGCCTTAGATCATCCCTCTTTACTCAGCACAATCCCCATCAGATTGAGGAAATTTCATTTCCAGTCATGGATGGATTCTGTAGTGGAAGCTTTGAACCAGCTGATGTCACAACTTGTATGAAAAGCTGAAGTTACATCCTGCCATTAAATTTGTCATAAAACTTAAGACGAGCTCAGCCTTTTTAAAGGAATAAAAATTGCTAATTTATTTTTTTTTTTTAAATAAATCACCAGTTTGTTATTCCAACATGTTCTCATTGAAGACAGTGACTATAAAAGGGGGCGGAGGGGGTTAATCAAGGTAACGTTGACCACTTTTGAAAGGCCCAAACTTGCTACTAATTACTAGAAAAGTGCTATCTTTCACACTTTCACATTCCTATATATGGTGCAAGTAATCTTATTTTCTTCTTCTTTTTTTTACCAGATAAGCCCTGTGGACACCCTGGAGATATTGAGTTTGGTTCCTTTGAACTTACCAGTGGAAGTGAATTTGTATTTGGTGCCAGAGTTGAGTACAGATGTAATGATGGGTAATACTTATTTAATTCGATGTATGGGAGTTAACATAAGTTGTTACTATTAAAAGAAGTATCAGTTATAGATTTGTTGTCTGTAATGCAGCTGCATCTTACTAATATTTAATGCTTGATTATTGTTTAATTTAAATTTCTTCAATTACAGTAATACTAAAGATAAGTCTTTCTCATGTCTGGTGCTGTTGGAGCAACTGAACTCATGCACCTGAAGCTGTCAACCAAAGTGTCTAAAATATGTAAGGCTGTAGCTAACTTGAAGTCATGGCTGTCTGAGTAGAAAAAATAGTGATCTGTCTGTAAAGCTGCCTCATGACCTTACCAGCAAGCCAGTTCAGATGGAAATGCAGCTTCATATGCTGGAATCAGTGTTCTCAGTAGGCAGTCATGATGCAGTTATGTTAGTGAAGTCGTTAGCCTGTACAACAGAGTCTCCTATTCAGAACCACAACTCACTGTTCCTGCTTAAATAATTTTTGTGCATTATGAAGTGAAATGTATTGTAAAAAATGTTTGAATGAAGACATTTCTGGTAGACTCACTAACATGTCTTCACTGACTGCTTGGAAGAAATTCTTCTCTCTTCCTCCTCTATTCATTTTCTCCAATGAAAACTGCAGCAAGGCAATATACAGTATTGTGCTTAGTTAAGTATGCCTATGACTGGATTCTATCCTCTTGAAAGCAAATCAGCTATAAGCATGGTACAGTGGTTTAGCCATGCTTTTGCAGTGTTTGTATTGCTGGAGTCTAGTCTGAGTTCCACAAAGAGAGTCCCAAAATCAATATTCTCTTTAATCCCTTAAGATCAGACAGTTCTTCGCTGTCATTTTGGACAGTGGCCACATTGCTCTTAAACCTAAGATAATACTAGCATAGATAATCAAAGCAAGAGATGTATATAGTTTGGATTAAGTCCTGTTTTGATGCTGTCACATGGCTTTCAGTCATACTAGAGTGCAGGCAACAGCTGTTTTATTCTGCTTTCTATTGATTGTGTAAATTATCCCTAGGTTATTTATTATGTAGCCAAAGCTTGCTATCTCTCTAATGAAGAAGCCATCTTACTGATTACTTCCTACTTTCTGATTATTATTTTTTTTATTTTTTGCCATATGCAAATAAAAGGAACAAAATAGCGGAGAGACAGGCCAAAAAACTACTCGGTTTTGTCACATTTTGGGTGGTCTGTGCTAGAACATATGAAACCTACTTCCTTTGCTTCAAAAACAGCAGTGCTGCTGTTTTTGTCACATAATGAGACTGTTTTTTAGCATTGTTTACTTTCTTATTCGGTAAGATACCGGATGCTCAGCCAAAGAAATTACCGTGAGTGTCAGGCAGATGGATGGAGCAATGACATCCCTCACTGTGAAGGTAAATGGAGTTTGACATTTAATTCTTTATCAAAATGTCTTTTTAAATCTCTGATACTATCTACCACTAGTCTGCGATCTCTCTACTTGTATTAATTCACACATGTTTAAATTCAAGTTACGCAGCGGTGAAACTCTTACAATGACTGCTCAGCCATTTTAGTCCAATAAGCACTCAAGCTTTTGTTAAAAAGCATTCGCAAAACAGTCTTGTCACCCACAGACTGGCTTAAAGCTCTGCCTCACCTAAAGGCCCTTATAGAACAGCTGTCTGCAAAACGTGGTTACAAAAGACAGCTCGGATGAGGCATTTTGGATGTATGTGAAAGTATGAGTGATTTTAGCTAGTTTTCTCCTCCATCCTTGTGAATATCCTAGCCATTAAGATGTGTTTTAAGTTCTTCTCCAAATTAGCATACTGTGGAAGAATTTTGGTAAGTAAGAATGAGAGCAAGAGAGACCCAGACATCAAGACTTAGTAGACTGGATGGCTCAGATGATACTTTCCTGATTTTGGAAACCTTTTCATCAGTTTCAAACCTGCATGATTATGAAAATAAGCTTCCTTTCTTCCCAAAGTTCATTTTTAACTGGTCTATTTTAACATATGTGTGCAGCAGTGAAATTTCTCCTTTGGTTAACCATCTAATACCAGGAAAGGACTCTAAATGAAGAATCACAAATGAAAGTAGATATCTTCCGCTTGTCTAGAGTTTTTTGTCTGTGTTTTGACATTTCCTTGGTCTCAGATATTTCACATTTAGTTTTCTGGATTTTGGGTGTCCTCAGTTTTAGGCATGCAGTATAGAGCAATGGTGTCCCACATTTTTTGTCATGTGTCACCAAGGAAGAAACTTTCTTGCCTAGGAAGGACATATTTGTATAATGTCCTAATTGTGAGGAACCTAGAAGATTGAATGTGAGCTCATAGAAAAGGCAGATGGCTCATAAGATGGAGAGTGTTGTCAGAGGGAAGTGGGAGCTATGGTAGGAAAACACCAGCCACTTTCGTACATGCTTAGTGATATCTGTGGAAGCATTTAAGAATGAGCTTTGATAGTCATTTCCCCCTTAATAAGAAATATCTGATGACATACATTAATTCTTCCTTTTTCTGTAGTTACAAAGTTAGGAGATACAAGAGGTCTAAATTCATGTCTGACATTGTGTTTGTTGACTTTAGTAATACAATTGTTCTGATATCCTTAACTGGGATTTTTAGTTAATAACTGAACTGTTTTAGTCAGTCTCTAACACAGCATTTTGCTGGATATTTGTCTATAGCAAATTCAGTTTGAATTCATAGCTCTAAAGTAAATTAAACTCTTTTGACGAAGTTTAATGGCTCTATGTGTCAGTCAAGGATCATCTAACCATCCATAGAATTCATAGGATCATAGTATAATTTAGATTGGGCAAGACCTCAGAAGGTCATCTAGTTCAGTGGGTGCTCTGTCTTTAGCCTTCAAGGGCAGAGAAGAGGACAAGAACTGGACTACAAGTTTTCTCCTATGTCAGTCTGCTGACATAGGGTTTTGTATTATCAGTTTGCTTAGGGTTTTGTATTATATCTGTCGCAAATGGTATCTGAAAAGAGTGACTTTTCTGTGTTTTAACTTTTTTGTGTGTCAATTTATTTTACAGAGGAGATCTCAAAATTACTGTTTTTTCCCTTTGCCTTTACTTTTGTTTTGTTTTATTTTCCAGTGGCAAAGTGTTTACCTGCACAAGCACCAGAAAATGGAAGAATAGTTATGACTGGTACATTTGAGCTAGGCCGAGAATATTCCTTTGGCCAGGTTATAAATTTTGAATGTAATGCAAAATACCGGCTTGTTGGATCTAAAGAAATAATTTGCTCTTCTAATGGAGAATGGAGTAGTAATGTGCCTCAGTGCCAAGGTAAAAAGGATACTATTTATTATCTGTAATTAAGAAGCTTTATTCTCACAGACTTCTAAGGACTGGTTGCCATACAGGAAACTACAAAGCTTTCACTTTATTCTACAGCAGTTAAGCCTAGTTTGTCTGTAAACAATCTCCATTGTATATATGCAGAAGTAGTAGGATAAGAAAAAGAAATCAGAGAATATTGGATGCTAATGTAGTCATAATGGACCATCTGGTGGTTCCACGTTTTCATTACAAGCTATATGTTTTGCTAGGCTGCAGTCAATTTCTTTGAAACTAGCTTTGGTATGTCTACATAAGATTCAATCACTTCAGTGTTGACTTTACTGAAGTAATTAGAAACAATTTTGAATCTATCTGAACCAAGTTCAAAGAACAAGTATTGTTTTAATCACTCATGTTCTTAGGGTATATAAAACGCAAAGAAATCATGATGGATTTTTCTTTCTTCAGACTAACGTGCTTTGACAAGTTAGAAGGTTAACTCTTGTTTAGTTTTTGCAGAACCACAGAATCACAGAATAGAGGAGGGTTGGGAGTGACCTCTGGAGGTCCCTCAAAGCAGGCAGCTAGGGCAAGTTGCACAAGTCCATGTCCAGTCAGCTTTTGAACATCTCCAAAGATGGAGACTCCACAGCCTCTCAGGGTAACCCATCCCGGTGTTTGACCACTCTTAAGTAAAAATGTTTTTTTCTCATGTTAAAGTGGTATATCCTCTATTTCAATTTGTGCCCATTGCTTCTCATCTTGTCTCTGGGTGCCAATGGCAAGGGTCTGGCTCCATCATCTTTACTCCTGCTGCCCCAACACAGTCAGGAATTTTTACGTATGCACATTAATAAGATCCTCCCCCCCTCCCCCAGCCTTCTTTTCTCTAGACTCTCTAAACCTCTGCTTTATCTGTCAGTTTTTCCAATGCCTTAATTATCTTCTTGTCCCTTCACTGGACCTGTTCCAGTAAATCCATGTCTTTTCTATACTGGGGAGCTCAGACCTGGACACGGGACTCCAGATATGGTCTGACCAGCGCTGAGTTAGAGGGGAAGGATCACCTCTTTTGAACTGCCAGCATCACTTCCCAATGGAGCCCAGGACGCTGTTTTCTTTGTTTGCTGCAAAGGCACATTGCTGGCCCCTGTTCAACTTGTCCATCAGGACTGCGGGGATTTTTTTCTGCAAAACTACTTTTCAGCCAGTCAACCACACCCTGCCCTGCCCTCAGCTTGTACTGGTTCATCTTATTTTGCAAACAGAGATTGTGTGTGACTGGATTGTCAGTATGTAAGAATAAATCCCAGGAAGTTTTTGGTAACAATCACTGTTAACTATTTAGTCCATCAAGTTTCTTAGATTATTTGTATGTTATCTGATCGGGAAGTGTATGTTTAGACAAGCAGGATACATATGTCGGGATGTCAGATACATATATGTTTTTTTCACAATTTTAGCGCTGCATTTTTCTGCTTTGAAACCTCCATTTATTATCATTTGAACAGCGTAAAACACATATGCTTGTAACATTTGCAGAATATAGTGAATTTTATTAAACAATGACAGTTTCACTGAGCTATATTTCATCTGAAATACAAAGTAAATCCAGCAAAGGAATCCAAGAGAACTCTTGGGTGTCCTGCTCTGTGGCCTAGGAGACAAAGCCTGGAATATTTTCTGGCTTTATGAATGCACTTTTGAGAAACTGCAAGATTTCAATGGTTTTATTTGGTTTGGCAAGGAGCTGGGGATGCTGAGGTTCTTTTATAGATAGGGAAACATTCTAGTGTCACTTTTCCAGATAGTTTAATTGCCTTTTCCTATTGATGTCATGTTTTACCTAATCGTCTGCTGGCTATGAGAGTGCTTCAGGTTTGCTGGAAATTACAAGGAAATGAAATTATCTGAAAAATGGAAAATACTAAATTTCAGCTAGCCTAGTTGCTCATTTTAGAATGTCCCCTGCCTTATATACTGATTCTGAGATCTGTTGAAATCCAAAACAAAGCCCTGAAATCTGTCTTATGAACCAATTTGCTATTGATGCTATGCTACACCACGCTTTCTACCTGGCACCCACAATCAGGTCACTGAAGAGTTCTCAAATAAGTTTCAAACAGTTTCCAAATGCAAATGTTTTTGTGAATTCAAATGAAAAAAAAAAAAAAACAACCCAAAACTAAATTTTATTCCAATAGGCATTTATTCTCAGCAAATAAAAATAAAGTATAATATATGGATTTTGTATTTCTCAATTTCAGAGATTATCTGTGATCTGCCAGAAATTGAGCATGGATATGTACGTGCTCCAAAGGCGTCTTACAAGGAATCTGAACAGCTACGGTTTGCCTGTGATGAAGGATACAGATATGGTGAAAGAGCAGATATACAATGTACTGAAGCAGGATGGAATCCGATCCCCTATTGCACTGGTTAGCCTTGTCTAAAGTTATTTTGGACATTTGTTGCGTTAGGAAGTAATTTCAGGGTTTAGTAATGACAAAAAGTTCATTCATAACAAAAGAAATCCATCCACGTCTGATCAATATCCCGGGAAGATCTGGAAGGATTAAGTGTTAAAGGGACCAAACAGCTGGGTAAGAGTTTTCCATGAAAAGCAGTAGCAAAAGCTGTTAATTCAGTCTTTTGTTACTTGAGTGTAGTTAAATAGGTCCACAAAGCAACAATTGCTACAGTATACTGCATAAATGAGATGATTGATGCTAAAATACTTCATGCAGCATTAGTAGCTGTTGTTATTTTATTCTTTTTTTATACGATTCTGAATTAGCGGGGAGAACATACTAAAAAGATTTCTTGAGTTAGAAAAAAATCCTAATTTGCAAAAAACTGTAGAGCTGAATCTCTTTACCTTCTACAAAATATGATGAAAAGGTTTTATCTAAGGAACAGAAAAATCGGACACCAAAAAGAATATTTAAGCAAGCAGGAAAAAAAGTATTAATACCAGAGAAATTCAAGCTACAGAAGGAATCTGAGGTTTTTAATGGCATGGGAAAATTAATATTTGAAACCAGCTTCTTAGAGAAGTGGTATGGATTTTGAAGTCCTATTGTCTTCACATCAAGGCTCGATACATTTTTAAGTGCGTTTAACATGAACATAACTGGTACAGGTCAGTGGCTGTGCTGTGTGTTGGAAGACTGGGTAAAGAAATATGTCTATGATACCATATGGGTTGCAGCAGTATGAATAAAATTGGGGAAAGCTAATAGTCTTAGCCTGATGACCTACTTATGAATCACAAGCAGCTCTTTGAGGGGCAGATACAAGTTAATGCATCTTCAGGTCTTCTGTGTTCAGTAGTTGAAATGCTGTGTCACCATAGCCAAGACTCTGCTACTTGTAATCATAAGACTCGGTAACATACCACTCAACATCTTATCCTGTATGAACATTCAAGATAATAGAAGTTCGCTTGACCTACTGTACCAACCTCTGCTTTTTGTCTAAGTGTCCTGATGAGTCTTACTATGGTTTGAGCAGACTGAGCACCTATTTGCTAGTTGTTATGTCCATTCTTGAAATTTCCAGACCACTAGTTCTGATCAATCCATTCCAACCAAAGAGGAACAATGAAAAAATGGTCCCTATTTCACTGATGGAACTTCAGTAAGAAATTGTTAGTGTACTGTGCAGCCTTTCAGAAATGACTGGAACTTGCAAAAGTATCTTTCAAATTAAAATCCTGACTTAAGTTTGTAAGCTGCCTTTCAAAAGTTCTTCTGAAACAGTAAAATAGTGTTGTAGGAAGAATAATCTGAATTTGATGTGGTCATTTCCAAAGGAGTTCGAGCAAATGTGAAGTAGTCCAATTTCAGAAGTACAAGTAATCCATTGATGGCCGTAAGTGTCTAAGATGAAAATAACAATGGAATTGTAGTGCCTGGTATGTATAAAGCTGAAAACAATAGTACTTCCTACACAGCCATTACATTGAGAATTGTGTACAACCTAGATTTGAAGTTCAGTAACCCTAAGAATCATGGACATGAAGTGATGTGTAAACGGAGACCAGTGTAACATGGTATCCATGAATCCTGCTACTCTCGATGACCCTTAGTCTATGATGAAGACAGCAATTTGTTTAATGTCATCAGAACTGTAATTGCACAACCATATTATCCATGGTGTTCAAAATTGTCTGACAATCTCTAAAAATTAATATATTTACAGTGCTGAATGTCCCTCTTGCTTTCTAACTAACTCCCAAATGCCTTCTCAGCAGTTAAGATGACAAATCCATATTTTCTGAGGCTAGTCCTGTTTGACATTAGCCCTCTGGGTCATGGATTTTATTTTAGTTTCGTTCAACTACAGCATTTAAAGACTATAATTAAATCTGCATGTCCCACAAACAGAAATACGCGTTTATGTCCCAGCCGAAATAGTTTGATGTAAATTTTGGGGAAATCATTAGTGCCTTGAATTGTCTTCAAGAAATTGTCAAACACTTGAAACTGGAAAAAAATGTTGGCAACAGGACAACATTGTAGGATGTAATGTACTACCTACCTTCCTGGGACCTCTTCCAGAAAGACTCCTTTAGAAATAAAGAGTAGTCAGCCTTAGAGCCCACTCAATTCTTGACCTTTCTGCTTCAAGATTAGTAATGATACTAATTAATATGCATTGCCTACGGTTTAGCAACATACTGCTTTTGAGAAGTGCCAAACATAACATGCTTCCAGACATTGGTATACTAAGCTCTGATACTTGGGGTATATTCAAAT